CATTCGTCAGTCTCATCTATGCTTCCATGTCATTGAATCTATTCTGTTCATCAGTTTATTAAGTTCTTTACATTCCACATATAAGTGAAATCATGTAATGTTTGTCTTTCTCTGCCTGGATTATTTCACTTAGCATAATTTTCTCCAGGTCCATCCATACTGTCCCAAAGGATACGAGATTCTTCTTCTTTACAGCTGCATAGTATTCCATGGTGTAAATGTCCCACAGCTTTTTATCCACTCATCTACTGATGGGCACTTGGGCTGTTTCCAGATCTTAGCTATAGTAAATTGTGTAGATCAGCAATTTTCAACCATTGTGCCACAAGAATTTCTAAAACATACAATACCTGACTCTTTAGTCAGGGGCACTGACCTCTTTTCCCTTAGATTGTCAAATTTAAAAAAATGACAACAGCCAACACAACAATAGCTGTCTGGTGTGAATGAATCAAACCTATTATACCTATTTTTAGGTGTACCTAAAATTATACCTATTTTTTGTCAGATCAGCAAAAAAATGTATTTTTTTTGGTGTGCTGCAGAATTTTAGTAACTGGTTTACATGTGCCACGAGGTGAAAAAGGTTGAAAATCGCTGCTATAGAGAATGGGGAGTCATAGAAGTTTCTTTGTGTTCTAATAATAATGGTCATCAATTCCAGAGCTTTAGTATGAGCCAGGATTGAATGGAACATTTTCTATATATTTACTCTTCACAACAATCATTTGAAGTGGATTTTATTTTCTTCATTTTATAGATGAGGAAACTGCAGCTCAGAGAGGTTGAGTAACTTGCCTAGGTTCACCCAGGCAATGAGTAACAGAACTGGCATTCAAACCCAAGATTGAAATATCAAATATTTTCCAATGCACTATGCTAAGAAAATGGCAGTGTAGATGGGGATGACCTTCAAGAGATATTTGACCTACAAAACTTTCTGGCCAGTTAGATGAGGTAAGGAAATGGAAGGAAGAACCACAGGTGACCCCTGGGTTTCCAGCTTGGATGACATCATTAATCAAGGCAGGGAGGGAGGTTTGGGCTCAGTGACTTCTGGGAAAAAGACACATCTAGGTAGAGGTTTCCCATAAGCAATAGGAATATGTGTCAGGAGACAGTAGATTCGAGAGTCACTATTTGAATGACACCTCCTTGATAAACCCAGCAGGCGAACCTCACACCCCTTCCAGTCCCTAATGGCCCAGCTATTTCCATACCTATCAGGCTTTGCTCAAATTGCTCCCTTAGCCTAGAAAACCTTCCATCTCCTTCTCTGACTGCTGACAACCTTGTCATTCTTCAAGACACGACCAGCAAAAACGTCAGCTCTCCCATAGAGCCTGCACTGGGCCTCCCCTTCACCCTGTGCTCCCACAGTCCTTTGTCTGGCCTTCTATTATGTTCCGCTTTGTTCTGCTGTGCTTCCCTCCCCTCCTCTTTCCTGTCTCTTGAAGATGCATTTTCTGTCAAGTGCTTAGTCTGAGCTCTATAAAGTGTATTGAGTTAGACTCAGTTGAAAAGGCTACTGACTGGCTGCCCAGAGGGGTGAGGCAGTGTTGCTGGGCGCCTCCCAACCCCATGCCACAGCATGAGTCAGGGTTCCCGGAGTCCATCACCCCCACATCCATCTACTTTCCTATAGTCATGTGTTCTCTCTGTGTGCTCAGCCTAAGTGGAGCATCCCCTTTCCTGGGAGACACGAAGCAGGAAACGCTGGCAAATATCACAGCGGTGAGTTACGACTTTGATGAGGAATTCTTCAGCCAGACCAGCGAGCTGGCCAAGGATTTCATTCGGAAGCTTCTGGTTAAAGAGACCCGGTAAGAGGACAGAGAAAGTCACGGGCTTCTCAGGTACTGACCTACACCTGTTGTCTTTCTCCAAGACATGTCAGTCTGTCCCCACTGTGTCACAGGCTGTCATCTGTGCCATTGTGGTCTAATCTGGGCAGGTGCTGAGAAGTGTGGACTGGCATTCATCTTGTTTGCTCAAGTCTTTCTGCTTTTTTTCCTTCTGAAATGCAAATAACTGTGTAGGTGTGTGGTGCGTGTGTGGTGCGTGTGTCTGTGTGTGGAGTATGTGTGTGTTTGGAAGTCAGCCTGGGTTTCCCTAGGGCTCGTTATCATGTGCAGTCTGTCCCAAAGGCACCTGAAACTAGAATGTGAAAAGGAAAGCAGCAGGTTTCAAGCCAATTCAGGTGGGCGCTGGGGGAGCCCAGAGAGGCCAATAGTGGAAAATAGGAGACATGGTAATCCTGCCCCTTCTTCAGGACGGAGGGTGAGCTCTGGGGCTGTGGGATCGCAGCAGGGCATGGACAGGGAATTCTAGGGTGTTGGGTGCCCAGAGCATGGCCTAGATAGGGCAGGAGTAAGTTCCTCAGACTCTAGAAGGGCATATCTTCTTGGTCCTACAGATTTCAGAGAGAGCCAGAGCGGGGTCCTCTGCAGTACAGGAGCTTGATTTCTCCAGCTAAGGGCAGTGCTGCACCCGACCTGGGTACAGTGAAGGGCAGAGCAGAGAAGAGATCTGGGAGGCAAACAGAAGAACAGAGACCAAATGTTTAACAATGGAAAACTGGAAGCTCGAAAGAGCACTTATGACTCTTCTAGTGTAGCATTAGTCCCTTCTACTTTGGGACCAAAGATGAGGGTTTATGTAATGTCACTTTAGAGGGGTCTGCCTGGACCATTTTCTCTGGAGGGCAGAGAATTCAGCCAGTTCCCCATCTATCTCTGTGTCCACCATTATTCTGGTTTGACAGCAGTGATTAAAGAATGCCAAATGCAGGTCTAAGAAGAGTAAGAATGAAAACCTTTGCTCTCAGCTTCTGTCCTCATGGATCATCTCTGTTTCTGGTCCTCATTGCAGGAAACGGCTCACAATCCAAGAGGCTCTCAGACACCCCTGGATCACGGTAAGGGCACAGTGATGAGTTCCAGCGAGCAGGAAGGTCTGTGCTCTGTCGCCAAGGCTGCCTGGGGTGGCCGTATGCAGAGGGCCCACAGAAAAGCCTTTGCTTGAAATACTGACTCGTGGGCACAGATGCAAGCTAGTTGGGGGCTCTGAAGTTTTGGGGGCTTTTTCAAATAGGTTTATAGGTTTAAGGTTTTTTTCATGGGTTCAGGTGACTTATGAAATGCAACCCTCACAAACCTCAGTTATAATAACCCTTTTTCTTTGGGGCCAACTTACAGAGTGTTCTTTGTCGGATGATATGTCACTGTTGTTCTCAAAGTAGAAATCGGGACTCCCTAGTTGTAGAGAGATTGATAACAATGAAAAAATCTCAACTTTGTAACCAGGGTTCCTTCTGACTTTTGGGGCTCTGGGTAAAGGATGACACTTCAACCAGTCACCTGGCTTCCTCAGGCACCGTGAGACCTAGGGAATGGGGTCTGAGATGGAGGCCTGGTGGGAAAGAGGCAGCCACCCTCTCTTTGGGCCATTTCGTTCCCTTTGGGCAGGGCAGGGGCACAAAGGTGACTCCCTGCCTAACCTGCTTATTAATTGTGCTTCCAGCTGCTGGTTTTCCATAGGGTCTTGTGGTCTAGTCACAGTAAAGTGCTGTGAAAAGCCTTTTGGGAGGATGGGAATCAGGAGACTGGGACTCTGGCCCTACAAGTTCGGCTAGCAGAGCAGATGTGCACTCCAGGGACATACCCGGACTTCCCATTCACTTGAATTGCTAAGTGAGAGAGCTGGCGAGGATGAAGTGAGGGTGCAGGTGAGAAGAGTAGAGGCCTATGGAGGGGGAAGCGGGGGAGGGCTGGGGTGCTCCAGAAAGGCCAGGCTCCTCTGCTCACTGAAGGATGGGGAAGGTCACGGGCCCTCCAGTTCTGGAGTGTGCTCAGGGCACAAAGCTAGGGAGACTCTCTTGGGCTGCCTCCCTGTTCATCCCGCCAAGTGTCGCCAAGGCCCAGGGAACCAACTGGCCCTGAAGGCAAGAGGCCGCTCAGCCTCCCCCTGTCAGACCTGGCCTGTGTGCTCCTGCCCTGGAGTAGATGCCTGCGGAGCCTTGCTGCAGCCTGCTTGCCTGTGTGAACCCCTAAATGCTATGCGTGTGAAGACCCTCTAATGGCCGTCCGTGGGCCACCCTGCCCTGAAGTGACCATGCAGGCAGCACCCCTGTGCTCCTCGACCTTGCTTATGGTTTGTAGGGGTGCTCATGCCACCCTGGCCCTCCACGTGGCCTGATGCATGCAGTGAATGCCAAAGAGGCTGCTCGCGTGCCTTCTGCCTCAAGCTCAGATTGCCCTTTGGAGCAGTTGTCAAATTAACTCTGGCTCTTCTGTCTAAACACCCACCAGTCCAAAGGAGAAGTCAGAGCCCCAGAACAACGGAAGACAGAGCCCACCCAGCTGAAGACCAAGCGCCTGAGAGAGTACACCCTCAAGTGCCACTCAAGCATGCCTCCCAACAACACCTACATCAACTTTGAGCGCTTTGCTCACGTGATGGAGGACGTGGCTTTGGTAGACCGGGGATGCCATGCCCTGGCAGGGACCCATGACACCATCCAGGATGATGTGGAGGCCCTGGTCTCCATCTTCAATGAGAAGGAAGCTTGGTACCGAGAGGAGAGCGAGAGCGCCCGGCACGACCTCTCCCAGCTCAGGTACGAGTTCCGCAAAGTGACATCCTTGAAGAAGCTCCTGCGAAAAGACATCCAGGCCACAGGGTCCAGCCTCGGAAGCATGGCCAGGAAGTTGGACCATCTGCAGGGGCAGTTTGAAGCTCTGAGGCAGGAGCTCTCAGCAGACCTACAGTGGATCCAGGAACTGGTGGGCAGCTGCCAGCTGGAGAGTGGGAGCCCAGATGGCCTGGGCTCCGTGTTCTGCCGGGACACCAGGGAGCCCCTAGCGGAGCTGTGCAGCAGATCAGGCAGCGAAGAAGTCTTGGCCAGCTTGAAGCTCTGAGCACCAGAATCGAGTCAGTAATGCCTCCTGGATGGCTTGCAGAAGGATGTTACAACTGCCCTGCTGGGCATCAGCTAGAATTATCCTGCAAGGATGTATGTCTGTAGCATAGACTTCCACCCCCTTCCCAGAATGCAGAATCATGGAGGAGCTAGCGAGTTATTCATCCTGCACCTCCTCTCACCAACCTGACTTTCTGGGATGGGGGGGCTGGCAGAGCAGCCAAGCTGTTAAAACAATTGAGGCTAAATACCTCTCAATGTATCTTTCTCCAGAGGGAAGACAGCTGGTCCTGGGGAGATGCTTGATAACTGATCTGTGATCATGAATTTGTGCATATTTCACTTCCTACCCATATGCCTTAGAGATTGCAGGTCTTGGGTAATATTGAGTTAACTAGGGGGAACAGTAAGTCGGCTTGGTGCTTTCTTGCCTCAGAGGGAGGAATTTAAAATACATGGGGAAAATATTACTTTTCATTTGCGTTGACATCACTTACCAAGCACTTACACCTTTAATCCTTATGTCTTTGATCCCTAAAAGAATTTCGTGAGACAGGAAGGTAGGTGGCATTATTATTATTGTTACTATTATTTTCATGTAACTAGAGAGGAAATTGACTCAGAGAGGGAAAATGATTTACTCAGGGTCATTCATAGCTAGTTGATACAGATGAACAGAAACTCAGGATGCCTGACTCTAAGATGTATATGGGAAGAAATTGTGAGGTTTTGCTATAAATATCCACTTTAATATTAAAGTTGAGGTAAAATAAGCCACTTCATGTACTCTGCCAGGTATAGATAGAATGCCTCATATCTTCAGATGGTTGTCTGGAGAAGTATGTCCTAGAGGGTGCAGTCATGGCTCCTGTCCAGCCTGAGCCTGTCTGACCATCTGCCCACAGAGCAGGAGGAAAGGGGCAACATCTCACCCTCCTCCAGCTGTGCCCCCTCTGGCTGAGGGCCTCAGCCTTGTGTTGGGGATGAATACCACAGGGAGTCAGCAAGAAAGTTCCTCTTCTTAGGTACTCAGGGCATTGGGCCTTGAAAAGTCTGAGAAACTCCATGAGAGTTTTTGAAGGGGGTGGACATTAAGACTGGGAAGCACAAGGTTCGGTGATCCCCTCTTGACCCCAAGCTTTAGGCATACCTCCCCGAGGACTGTGTGATCTTATCTCCCTTTTCCCAGAGGAGGACCCCGTCATCTGCCTCATAGAGACGGAGCATGCGTGTGGGCCCAGCACTGTGTCACAAGTTTGGGGGTGGGGGAACAGATGCATCATTTCAAAGTGTCTTAAGAAACTCATAACACACCCTTGCCAGAGAGGCAGGGTAAATGTTATTCCCAGTTTGGATTTGAGGAAACAGAGAGGATGTGATTTGCCCAAGGCCATAATAGTGGCAAAACTGGAGGTCTCCTGATGAGCCTGTTGCTCTCTCTGCTCCCCCTAGCTTCCCTAGGTTCCAGGAGTTTGCTCCCTGCTTCTGAGGCAGGTTACACTCAGATTCGCCCATCCATCCATTCACAAATAATTTCTGAGCACCTACCAAGTGCGAAGCACTTGGCTTGGCACCGGGAACACAGAGTTAAGAGAAAACTGACATGTTTCCTGCCTCAACAAAGTTTGCAGTCCAGTGAAGGATTCCCACATGAACCGAGAACATTCTAGAAATATAGAACTGCAGCTGGGCCATATGCTGGGAGAGAGAAGTATGTAGCACTGCAAGAGTCTGCAGTGGGGGTTGGATCTAGTCAGGGAAGGCACCCATGAGGTGCCAAGCACACTAGGGAGGAACAGTTGTTTCCTGCAGAGCTGTCATGCCAGGGCCCTGTTGTGGGAGGGGGCACGGGAGGCTGAAATCACACAGACAAAAAGAAAGCTGGAGGGGAGAGGATAGGCGGACTGGGTAGATGTGGCGGGAAAGGGCGCAGGACCAGCAAGGCCTTGCCATATTAAAGAGTGCTGTCTTCTTCCAAGAGTAATGGGAGCCATAGTGGGTGCCAGGCTAGGCAATGGCCTGATCAATGTGCTGG